ACAACACATATGTTAGCGTCAGCGGCTGCAAGTATAACGTCCATGTATACAAAGTTTAAGTTAGCAAAAATAAACCAGCCATTCTAAATACAGAGAGAAAACGAGCAGGATATATGGCCCAATCTAGAAACAGAAGGTTGGTACCGGGCTTACCGCAGCTATCCGTAGGCAAAGTGGCCAAGTATAGGGAAATCGAAGGGCGCAGGCCACAATCACACATCGAACAAACCGTTGGGAAGAGAAACACCAAGCAAAAATAAGGCGAGGTACACATTTATCGTCGAAAGGTACAGGCTCGCTTGGCTAAAACGGCACCCAAACAAAGCTAATTAGGGAAAGGAAAGAAAAAATGTTCCGGTAAATTAGGAGCCTGACTGCGGAGGCTGAATTCGGAAGTTTGTGTATATAAAAAGTGGTTGGCAAGCGACAGGTACACTGCCTAATTCTCCTGTGTACTGATGAAATTTTTATTTGGTAATAGTTTACACATCATACAGGGAAATATCCATGCCACTACGGACGTCCAAAATAGGAAAAAATAATGGCCATATTGAGACGTACAGTAGGCTTCTCCTTCCAATAACAGTAACGTATTAGTGCCTAAGTTAACGTGGCGATATTGGCATGATTATGTTCTAAAACCTATATAGGTAACAGGACATTGGGAAAATTGTAGTCTGATTTGAAGGGTTATCAGTTACAGAGCGCTAAAAGTTTCTACAACTATAACAAGTGAATTTATTATCATTTCATTTAGCAAGCGAACATTGGTCTAATTTTTATTTCGTGGTTGTTGCAGGATTTTTAATCAAAAATATTTTAATAATATTAGAGGATTTCTGTGAGTCTGGCCCTGTTTATTGGTATTTACATTATGACGTCTTAAGATCAGTACCCATGAGAGAAGGATAATAAAACGCCCTTTCTAATCGCTGTTTTATATATCGATACCGCGCGCTGATCACCAGCACTTTTACAATCGTCACACTTGCGCACTAGATCTAAGGCACAATGATCCCAAAGTTTTATTTTCGCGGTTCCCGTCGACTCAACTTTCCAGGCAGTAACGCGCAAGGTGATCAAAGCGTTGACAGGGTAGGACGAGATTGACCTTGATACTTGTTCATAAGAAAACAAGTTAACTTCCAAATTCATATAATTTTACAAAATCCTCAGACAGTAGTGTAAAATAATATTCCAACGGAACAGCAACGACCGAATTTGAAGGCCCCACCAGAAGGGCAAACGTTTTGTTGCTGTTTGGAAAAAGATATCTGTAAAAACTGGACAACGGCATGGAAAACGCAGCCGGAAAATTATTAAACAAAGAGAAAATTTACGTATAAATGTCTAAGAAAGAGCAGAGATGTTAATGAAGAGAAAGCAGTCAATTATGCGCGATGAAAGAAAGTTGTTGGTAAGAGGGACTAAAATCTACGTTGGATCAGCTGCCTGGGACCAGTCTTAACCTCGGGCGTGGGTCAGGAGACGATTTCCAATGAACTTATGAAGCCAGGACGAAGGAAGTATATAAAAACTAAGAATAGAGGAAACGATTGTGTTGAGATGACGAAGCGGATAAGAAATTGTGAGGGGAGAACTAAGTTTTCGGTATGAAGTAGGTCACCAAATATGGAGGCATTATTTACCAGAAGCATGCATTCTTCGGGGGTGGTAGCCGGACATGTTTTGTGCAGCTGAGAGGGGGAATTGTTAAAAGTGTTGAATACGAGATCAATTGACACAAGTCTATAAGATGCGGCCACCAATGCATCCATCTCGATCACCTAGTCTAAAATTCTGTTCCCCTTATATTTTACCTAGACTTGCAGCGGACACAACCAATCTTTTGACCATCGCATTTTAAGCTTAATTAATTACCGTATAATATCCTCCAAATGAAGTTAGCTGTAGTCAAATATACTGCAAATTTTCAGTCAGGTGTCTGCTTGTCAATTATAAACTAACTGATTCGACTAGAATATTAGTCCAAATTTTGTGACCTACTGGTTTGAGTTCCGTTGGAATGTCACCTTAACAAATTTAAACTGCCCAACAGTGCACATCCCAGACTCAGGAAGTAATGGGTAATGCTTCAAGATTAATGTATTCACTGCGTATCGGAGTTCGCACGACGAGGCTGGCAGCCGTTACGCATTGAGACAGCTGCGTAATAACTTCGGATTTGACAATTTACCCCATATGAAACTATGGCAAAAGCTATGTTATTATGATTTATCTGTTATCATTGGTTATTTAAAGAAGCAAATTTTTGGATGGAATAAACTGGTGTGCACGCATTTATCGAAGCGTATCATTTGGGTAACTAAATCTCCGTGACATCTCACAAGCTTTGTTCGTTTATTTATTCGTGTGTATGATGTACCCTGCAAACTTGTTTGCATAACTCTAACATGTGGAAAATTCTAGGAGTCTAGAGGCGATTGTGCACGCTGTGGATAGAAAATGAGACGGGTTAACACTAAACTTTCTGGTAGTTAAGAAGGCAGTATTCCGCAATTTGCACCGGAGTTGCCTGTCCCCAGAAAATTATACGACCAGCAGGACTGAAAACGCCCTGTCTGCAATCGGGATAAGCTGGGCGTCGTCCACTCCTTGACTTACTTTTCGAGTGACAAGTAAAACAAGGCCGCCTGTAGCTTGTTCCGTATGTTGTGGCACTATGACATTTACTTGGAAAATCTAACGGCCGAAAACCGTTTGATGCCGTTCTAAGCATTTGTGGTGTCATGTGGAATATTTTATCCAGAATGCCTGTCTTGTCTAATCCGGAACAAAATGAAGCTGGAGGGAATTTTACAAAGGAACATTGCTTTGGTTCTCGTGTTACTCTGACTGTTATAAAGCCTTCAAAACACCGCTAAAATATTCAATAAGACATAACCATCACTTATCATGTTTTGTTGGAAACGTTAACCTATACCTCTATTGACTATTTACTTCTGTCAGATGATCATTTGGAATTGCGCAAACCGCAGTTTCCTTCTAGAGCGTCAACCCTGGTGTCACATCGCGTTACTGAGCGCTAGGTTTGGTTTCGGAAAGTTATCATTAGTAAGCTTTGGCTCAAGAATCTTGAGCTACTTGTTTGCCTCGCCAGTGGCAATAAGGTACACTTCCATGACTAACTACCTTCTACATACATAAGGATACTAATGTGTATTGACAATATGGTATGATTAGATATAGTTTATCAAACTCAGTCAGCAGGCTTAAGCTTGTCTGGAAAAGTGACAGACTAACACTTGTTTCGACTCTCGGGGTCTCGTCAGGCGTGCAACTTCTAGTGGACCCGCGCGGGGTTCCACCCCCATGACTTCCGGATGCCAGCAGCTAGTGAAATTTTGCCATGGGTGACAGTTGCGGACCTACATGTTTGACACTTGACTGTGACTGTAATATAGCTCTGCTCATCTTCTACTCTCATGTTAGTTACTAGCTGTGCACAGGAAAGCAGAACCCGGCAGGAGTACGCTGAAATACACACCAGTGAGGAGACCCAGCAGATCAAATCACCTGCGTCTGGTATATTTCCAGACTAGTCTAAGTCTGCTGACTGAGAGTGAACAGTGAGTAGCTATATTAATTCATACTTCAAATTGTCTTCATTAATTTAGATCGCGCGCAAATGTTCCCGCCTGTCTAGTAGGGCTACTTCTTTCTTAACTCGGTACTCTATCTATCTCTAGCTTACTTCTTGTAAACGGCAATGCATGCACTGTCCTTAGAGGAAACTGGCTCAGTAACTGATTGACCGAAGTAGCCTTAGTTTTCTCTTCGGATTCACTAAGAACTAGGAAAATTCTAGTTCTTGCTACCTCAACGACCTAAGCTAGCAGCAATAGTCTTACTGGTACCAGAAAATAGAACTAAACTATTATAGGCTGTTTATCACATTGAGCACCACACCATCGCTTCAATGGAATTTATCACAACGCCCAGACTCCAATACATTGAGGAGTGCTCCTTAAGCTGTTTTAAGGCACACAATCCAAGCTGCATTGTACAGCGTTCACATAAATTTGGTGAACCATTCACCATTTTACTTTACCCTGTCAGCTGCACAAGGAACTGTAGGAACAATGGACCATTGTTATAATGCGGCCACAATGCTAGGGCTTGACAAGTCAAGTGTAAAAGACATAAGTAGGAAGAAACAGCTTGCTAGCAAGATAAAATGCGCACATTTGGACTCGTTATAATTACCATGTTATGTACATGCAATTCTGTCTACCCCAATTTCAAAGGGGAAACTTAGCTCAATATCCTTTTGCGCATGTTGTCACCTGATGAACGGGGCCAAGTCACATAATACAAATGTTGTAGTATACTATCCAGCCTGTTTTTATGTGCCTGACGTGGGCTCATTACCAAATAGCCATGCTGACATCTACGATCACGAATATCACGTAGGTTCACACTTTAAACAGGAAGAATGTTATAGACGTTTTAGTGAATTGGGGCTTCCATGATACCCACGGGTTTTTTCGTTTTCATGCTTACTGCTACGAATGGGAGTTCATGATTTTGATTTTATCAGCGCTATGTGTCACACTACATCGCAACTGATATTTTACATTCTTATCGGTCGTTCAGTTTGCTCCCTAAATAACCTCTTAGTAGGACACTGAGATAATACCTTGCTTTTTTCTAGCATTTTTATTATCCATAAGGATGCTTCTTTTGATGTTCAACACTTGTCTTCGCAATGTGGTTTGGTTTATGAGTTTATCAGTGCTACGCAGATATACCAGTAAAATTCACCTAAACTCTTCTTTAAACACAGTGGTTTATATCTCTTTAGAATTACACGTTCTATAACTCCAGGTTGCCTTACCCGACGGCTAGGTAATTTGCTTTGTTTAAGTAAAACAATTGCTATCGAAAGAGATATGGAACCACAATTCATTTGATGTTTACCGCGAATATCAAGCAGAGAAATTCAGTTGGTTCTAAATTATGAGAACACAACAGAGCACCTGCGGTTTCTTCAGCGACTGTTTTTTAGAGTTAACATTTTCCTCACATGCTGCAAAGGCGAACGCTTTTGCGTGTGTTAGCCGTGAGCCAGGAAAGCTTGGATTACGAAGAGCATGTTGCATGAGAAGTATCGTCTTTATTCCCATATTCTGTATATTCCTTTCAGGCATGTGTTATTTCAGTATACCTCGAGACCCAGTTTTCCTTTTTCGATTTTGCATGTCTGCTATGTTTAACATATGATCATAAATGAAAAGAAAAATCCGGGAGAGACAGGAGTTACATACAGGAAGTAGGATAGTAAGACATGAGACAAATAGCAAAAACGTCTCAGTTTTACCCTTCAAGTTGTAACCACGGTAGTTTAAAAGTGGTGGATTGCATCGCTATATTATAAATGGAAATATTTAAAGTGAAGATTTTCCCATGGTGAGGTTTATTTTTCCTGCTATCGAGACTCCATCCCCACAAAGGGACGGATGCTTTTTACATTGACAGCAGGCTAACGCATGCAAGCCTGTCAATGATTTGGGTTATTCATGGATGTATTAAGTACATTTATGGAAGATCAGCAGGTGCTTACACCGTCGTTTCCTATCTGAACACGAACATTCTCAGTTTGTTGGAACAGATTGAAGATGAAATGGAGGTGGCGGATTCAACACAGTGGTTGCAACGTGAAACGGGACGAAGCAATTGCAGCCATCAACCAAAATCAGACAAGTAACACAAAATGTTGCTTAACAGTTTCGAGTAATACAGGTCAGGTTTTCTGTGCTTACATCAATTTATTCACATGTGGGATGAAAGAGTAAGACAGGATTATGATATCGTCGGGGTTGAGTAGGAAGCTTTAAGCATTTAGTTTCATTAGCTGTGTAAATTAAGATGGTGAGCGCATAGGGGCGCGTAAATCCGAGTGAATTGCCTAAGCACTTCTAAATCTAGCTTTCAGAATTACCTGATCAAACAGATGTATAGTGTTACTCTCGAGTAGCAGGATATTAGTTGTAATACTGATAAGACTTCCCTCCAAAAAAGTTCACAAGCTACATAGCAGAGCCTTGTACAGAAAAGCACCAGACGCGTTTCGCCCTATTGCTGCTCCTCAGTGGTGCACATTCTCTCGGTCCTCAAAGGAGGATAGAACCCATGACAGCTAGGGACAGATGCCAACTAGCCAGCATATTAAGCCACTGAGTCATGGGGGACGTTGGCTTGGCTACATAATTGGCAAACTAACTGGGATATCGCACCACCTATCTTCCACTGTCACTGACAGTGGTTAGCCTGCAAGGTGATGAAGTCTTATTGCTAGACGCCATGTCCATAGCATTTGAAACTAAGAGAGGCTATTTGTAATTTATATTACTCACGAACGGCAGGATTTTAGTTGTAATTCTGATAAGAGTTCATCCTAATAATGGTATAGCAAAGTAGAAACGTCAAATATATTTCGCTTTCTCCATTGTTGGTTTAGTTTTTCTCAATCACTTAAAATCATAAGCTTTCACCGTTAAAATTTTAATTGTTTATCGAAGTGCCAGTACCGATTCATCGCAGGTCGTTAGACGTTCATAATTTTACGGCTGGCTGATCTAAGTGGATAAGCGTTACAAATTTGCTTTATGCACTCTTGCCTTATTCTAAAGCAGTATTCGCAAGCCATAAACTGTGCATTATAAATCGCACTCGGTAACACAACAAGTCAGACAAGATGTATTCGTTAAAATCGTGATCACTAGAAGGCGACTTTAGTAATGATAAAGTGCCACCAAACAATTTAGTTTTTCCAAACGTTGGCTCACAAGGTCATGAGGTCTATTCATGAGCGTCATTCATAGATCATACCACCCGCCGTTCGCCAAAATTTTTAAGCAAACGCAGAGAGACCCATGCACTCTATTAAAGGAAATATGTTATGAATGATCTTGACTAATATGTAAATATTACAGAGACGAATAGTTTTGTAACTGCCGTTTACATAAAGACTTCGCATAATTTAAACCGTCTCATTGTAGGTAATGCAAGCTATTGATCCTAATTGTATGCTTTACTTATAATATGCAAGTCAGTGTGCGGCAAGCATGAATAAAAATGAAAATGTCGCTCACCGACCTTGCCGGTTATATAATGCAAAGGCGGATTATCAAACTTGCCATTGCGCTAAATTTTTCGCAGAAAATTAACAGTTTATATAGCCTAAATGTTGCTTTAATTAACATGTACAATTCGGTGGTCGACAAGTATAAATGAAATGAAAACGTCATGCCGTTTTCCTAATCATTTTTGTCAACGAATTTATTGAACATTAACAGGTGGTCCCTTACTTATTTTTCATTTCGCATCAGGCTTCTGGTTGTTGATGGCAAATAGTTTTGCAGTAAGGCCGCTTTTCTTTTAAGGTATTCGACGGAATTGCAGGGCTGCGTAAAACGTTCGATTTTGGAGGCAAACTTCGACCTTAGGAAAAATATCAGGGTTCCATATCGATCACCTACATGCCATATAATTCTTGCTTCGGTGACCGTCAGTTCGAGGCCTAGTGCTGCTTCAGAGCTATCAATCCGAGTGCCGGAAAGAGGTGAGTACGGTACAAACAAAGGAAGTAGCGAAGGAAACCAGCACGACGCGAGCGCGTCGACATTGTGTTTGCTAAATGCGTTAAGGTAAACCAATAGTACAAAACGCTTGTTAACCTAAATGATGAAATTGAAGAGAAAATATGGTATATTCACAACGGCTACAGAGTCTTCACTATCGCTACAGATTTAGTTAGTAAATGGTGAAAGCGTCAAAGCGCCGCTATGCGCCCGGTTCCACTCCCAGCTCAGCTTTCTTTGCATGATGTGCCCAAACCAGGACGAATCCATCGGGCTTGGAGTTCAGGGGCGGAAAATACTTACACCAAAGCCCTCCAATTCGCTGACAGTCCCATTGCACTTACTGACAGAAACTGGCTTCAAAGTCAACCGACACCTCAATTGATATACGACAGGCAATCCAAAAGCCAAAAAGAAATTCGCATTTTTATAAACACACTGTATACGGCCGCTAAGCAGATGCGACCATTAGTACACAACGGTAGTGTCATGGTTTACGCGACTCAAAACACAAAACGGAATAAAATTTCTTATCTTGATTATTCTTTACGGTGGATATACCCGATTACTCAAAAGCAAAGACAAGAATATTCGTACCGTTTCCTAGGTGGCGAAGCTTAGTAGCAGGCAAAATTGCAGCAGGGGAAATTAGGCGGCAGATGCACCTGTTTACTTTCATGGGTAAGGCTAAAGAAGAAGAGCTGACTTTAAGCTAATCGCTGCTCAAATGTTCTGTAGATTAGATTTCGACAATGTTTTTGGTGATTGTTTTCAGCGGTGGCTTTAGCAAATTCGGAATAGTGAGAAAATTTATGCAGGATTTTGGTAGGTGGCATGGTTAACACTCGGGCGTTCCGGTAGTGATAATCTGTGCCGTAGGCTGGCATTAATCACCGTAAAGCAAGACAGTGAGATTTTATGAATGGCAGGCTGTGATCGCAACGGATAGCTGCCTAACAATTGTGATGGATGGAAGCTTTCCGCTGCTCAAAGCACTACACGCCAAGAGAACCACACGTTTCTAATACAAAGAAAAGAACGAGCTTGAATTCAATACTCATGGCGAAAAATGTTCTATACGGAAGTGGTGGCAACGATCATAGAAACGTAGTGTTTAACCCCGTCTCATGACCAGCTTTCTAAATGATCGTTGGACAATTGCTACAGCTGTTGCATCTTTCGTATTTGCTGTGCATGATACTATAATACTCCAGAGTAAGCATCACGAATATGTTGAACAGTTCTTGCCGTGTTTCAGGAAGGGAGAACGTTCTAGTGATGTAGCCCGATGGCTGTTTGCTTGTTGCAATTAGGTGGCGCATATATGCAAAAGATTGAGGGAGGTAGAATGCGTCAATTCCAAGTTCCGGGCGGAATCAGAGGTTGAGATCATGTTACCGGCATTCGTGACAAAACCTTCCTGGATGCGGCATCGGTACCCAAATACTAGAGATTTACTTCCTGAGAACTTCATTATGATGCTATTTGCGTATGCCTCTCAGAAACTGTCGTAGTTAGTCTGAATGAAAGGTGTAAACTAGTTTGACGTCTCCCGCAAGCAGAAACGGGCGTCTGTCCTTGTTGCGGTTTCAAACGTTTTCTTTTTGTATGTTTGGTAATATAGTGGTCGCAACACACTTCCCTAGAATATACTGTTTGTTATTTGTTTGGGGTGGAATATTGCCAACCCATTCTGAACCTTTGGGTTCCATCGAGTAGGTATGATTAGATAAGCTTAGGAGTGGGCTTTAAATGACATACCACTCTAGCATGGAAAACAGTGGCCTGTGCGACACGCAGTCGAAAGCCTTATGCGTGTCCAAAAATATTGCGATGATTGCCAATTCTCTGTCAATAATATTCCCAATTTGATCAATGAAAAGTAACTGGCAGGTAACGTAGGAGCGCCTGGAGATAACATCATTTGTAATGGTGAATGACCAATCGTATTGCGAAACCCACCGGTCTAAGAAGGCCCGAATAACAGTCTCAGCTGTGCGGTCTGTTACGGGAATGGCTTCTGGCCATCTGATGAAGCGGTCGACACATGTAAGAATGTATACGAATCTGCGTGAAGGTTCCAAGGGACCTACCAGGTCTACGTGAACAAGCGAGAAACGAGAGTCCGGGGCGAGAAATAAGCCAAGTGGACTACGGGTGTGACGATGTATTTTGGAGCGCTGGCATTGAAGGCAGGCGCGAGCCCAGGTACGAAACTTTTGATCAGGCGTGGCCAAACGAAACATTCAGTGCCCAGTTTCAAAGATGCACGGATACCGGGAGGTGATAGTGAGTGCAGTGCGTCAAAGACTGTTCGTCTGAAGGAGTCGGACACGAGGGGTTTGGAAAACCAGTGTTAGTGTCACATAAAATGGTTACATTTTGTTTTGGATAGAAAGAGGTTGTACGTGCAGCGAAGTGGAGTGCAGAGTGCGTTGTATGCCTTACACTTGTGCCTGAGTCCATGCCATGGCGGCAAAGTTGACGGTAGGTAAAGACTGGAGATTGAGGTTGATGTGTGAGAGAGCGTTGGCGACAGGACTGTCGACGCCTGAGACATTACTGAT